AATTGTTTCTATTATATTCAAAATGGCAACAATAAGCCAATAGCGTCAAATAATTACCTGAATTACGAGTAAACAAGCGCATTTTTACATCTTTAGATCGTAATGCTGAAATCCAAGGTCAAGCTACCTTTTTAACACACTGTCTTGCAGAAGGTCAATGAAGATTCTCAGACCTTTAACCAGTGGACTTCATTCTAGGGATTTGCCAAGGGTCAGATATGCCCCTCTCTAACAGACCTCCAAATCATGAGCGGAGTGCCCACTAGAGGATTATTCCTTTATCCTGACCACACTCTACGCAGGGTATATGATCGGTACCTGTGTGGACGGGGGCATCTTCAACAAGTTGAGGAGAACTTTCATCCTGTGGACATAATCTAACACTCCCAAATTTTACTCCCATGGAGTCCAGGTTCGTTGTAGCTAGATACGGATATACCTACAGCAAAAGAAAGAAACGTTTAGTAGACTAGATACGCTATGAAACCTACCAGGAAATGACAAACAAACAAATCAACACTACACACGCGATAAGTAATGGGAATTTCAGAGATACGTGTAGTGGTCGGAGGCTGAAATAAAATTCTCGGTAAATATTTATGTTTGTTTTTTATTTCGAAAAAGGGAATGAAATTAGGCTGGAGTTGTGAATGAAGAGTATTGTTTTACTTGAACCACAGGTTGTCTTTTAGTAAATACATCACTTGTAGGTTATAACATCAGGCAGGCATTTGCTTGTAAGGAACTTCAGTTGTGGCATCTAATATTGGTTCTGGTGTCAGATAAGCGGGAAATGAGATCCACCTTTCGTGTTGTAAATGTCACGGCAGCGTTGTCGTAGTCGAGTTGGACTTGAAAAGTAAAATCTTTTTGACACACTTTGTAGGCGCTCAGTTCCTTCCATGAGATAGTTTTACCTGAAACCGTGGTACACTTCTAAGCTCATGCCACATACGTCTTTTTCGTGTTGAAGAGATTTGATCTTCATTTCGTTTTGTAACTTCAAGTCTCAAAAGGGCGCAATATTTACCCTATGTCAACTTGAATTCTTCGCTGTGTGAGGCCTGGTGACTTTTCTAATTTACTGTGATAACACAGCTTACGACTCACAACTCACGTAGGCCAGGACTACCTGTTCTCTTGCGTTGGTCTGCGATGTACTTACACAATCACAAACGTTCAGAAAAGACATCTTCAGAAATTATTTTGGGTTGTAATTGAATAAATTTTAACATATTTGGTCTTCTTAAATATTGCTTGATGAAATTAGAACAATTGTTAGCGTATCCATTACAATTAGTTATAAAACGGTATTCATCCTCTATTGCACTTTCATAATATAATATACATTTGTCGTCTCTATTCCGTCTTTGCGTATTGCAGAGTTATCTTCTCTGGTGAGCAGGGTATTGATTGTTACGTCATTGGTTTGTGTGAGGAAATTACGTCGTTTTCTCAAAATTTGATGACGTTACTCTCACAAACCAATGACGTAACAATCAATACCTTCTCACTAGAGCAAAAATTTAATCAAGCTAAATAAGCCTTAATAAAAAAAATAAACAAACCAGAACAAATATTTTTTTATTCGTAATTTGTTAAAACTACTCACTTCAAGACACATATATGTTTTATTAACGTACTTACACAATTTTAATATGAAAACGGCAAATAATGAAAAAGGGAATACAAAATCAGCGGCCTTGCTACGGCAAACTATTGCCGCTCTCGGACATCTGATTTTTCTTTGCGTTTTTACGATTTTGCCGTGCGCCACTATATCAAATCTTTGATGATATTACGAGTTTTGGCTAGGCTTTTCTCTTGTATGAATTCACTGTGGGCTTTATGCAATTGGAATCATACTATTTTGGTTATTTGAATACCAAACCGAAAAATGAATTTGGAATGTATTTGGAATCACAAATAAATAATGCTCAAAATTCGCTGGGATATGTGCATTTTGTAACAAAAGCTTTAACAAAACGTCTTGCGCGGCACTGGAGAAGCCTAACTAATGTTTTTACAATTAAACATTTATATCTGGTGAAATATTCGTATTCCAACTAGAGTAACATAACGTTTCAAAATCTAACAAACTAATATTAGGGTCAATTCTGCCTATTTATAACTTAAATTTCATTTCTTACCGGAGAAAAAAAATGTTTGCTTATTTCAGTGTTTTGGTAAGGTTTAGTGCCGCACCGGTTGCGTCCCTTGAATTGACATTTTTTTAAACAGCTACCACTACCACAGGGACCTGAGAGTTTGTTAAACATACATTTGGACCTAAACTAAGGTGTTCAGAGTAATTTTACATGTTTTATACCGAAAGTTGATCTAAACCCCTAAAACCTGTAAAATTACTATGAACACCTTATTTTAGGTCCATATATATAGCTGTAGCAAATTATCAGGTCCCTGTGATCCTGAACATCGGTACACCTGTCTTTATTATCCCCCGCACACTGCAACGGGGGATATTAATTTGGGTTTGTCCGTCTGTCTGTCTGTCTGTCACGCTTCGTTTCCGTGCAATAACTGCAACAAATGTTAACCGATTTTCTTCAAAACTGGTCACAGGGTTAAATGCCTTAAGGGCTCGGCCAAGTTGGATGACCACTTTCATTATCTGCCGTTTCTGTTCATTAACTCTCGCAAATATTATCCGATTGCCTTCAAACTTAGTAACAGGGTTCTCGACCAAGTTTGACAATCACTTTAATCGGACTCCATTTGGCGGAGTTATGGCCTCTTGATTAACGAAAAACGTCAGTATCTGCAGTTTCCGCTTAATAGCTCTAGCAAATATTAGCCAAATTCCTTCAAACTTGATAACAATGTTTGTGTTCCTCGGTCTTTCCACGCATCCGACTCATGCTAAGTTTGCCAACCGATGTCATTTGTGCATATATACGGATAATTAATGAGGTTGGTAAATTCTGATAGATTAAACGATTAATTTACACCGTAATACCTACATGTTCAATAAAAAGTATAACTTCTGTATACTTTTTTTTTCCCTTCGAGTTTCAAACTGTACATTATGTCTCAACAGCACGATACTCACATGTTTAAACCTAACCTCAATAATGTTTACCTACAATATGTCCTGCAAGCGGGGGATATACATTCCACGAATTTGCTTGTTTTTCTCTTATGTGTGTAGATCAGGAAGTTTATTTTTGTCAAATATTAATATAAATCAAACAATATTTGACCAACTTTTTTAAAATGCCGTACAAAGATCATTCTATTTATCACAATCGATAATCATGGAAACCGTTTTCTGTAGTGTAAGAATGCAGAAGGACGGAATCCATTGACAACAAACATGACAATTCAAGGTGCTGAATCAATACTGTTTAAGCAATGTTCTCTAATGTCTTAATTTCCTCATCGATTAACCCTTTCACCCCTAGGTTACTTTACCCTGCATTTATAAGGACGAGTCCATTACGGTCTACGGTGGTGAAAGCGTTATAAGTTGGGGGGGGGGGGGGGGGGGGGGTTCACTTTGTAATATTGCCAACCCAGAACTGTGCAGACGACATGGTCTATCCCACTGCATGCTACAACGTATCGACAGAGGCGACTAACAAGGGGCGCCTGCGGGGGTTTCCCCCTGTGCCCGTCTCCTTCGCTTTGAAAATCAAAAACTGACCTGCTGTCCTCGTTACAACAGTTTGACTCTCCGTCTTTTGATTTCTCTCCTTTGGTGGTGTCACGCTAGACACTTATCGTCTTCATATGACCTTAGCCGTCACTCGGAACTTCTTGTCCGTTTACCTTGGAAGGAACTGTAATTGGAGCGAGGTTTATCTCCGAAGAGAAGTATACATATACAGACCTTTATATTGACTCTTTAGTATCAATTCAGCTTTGCTATCTATTTAGTGAGAACCTTCAGTTTTCTCCTCGGTTATTGATCTTTCGCTTTGACCTCCAGTTCGGAGAGCTTTACTCCAAGGTAAAGTATGTAAGACGTACATTTAGGCGATTAACATATGTTTTCTTTATATTTGCGGGCAGTTTTTCGTGTATGACCAATCGAATGTCTTGTTGCATCTCAAATGAAATCATAATGTAGATTGGTTGTTCGATGTAGCTGGAATCAAGTTTCCTGTAAAGGAGGAAAGCAACACAACAGACATTCAGTCTTTTGACGTTGAACTTGACATTTGTTTGGAAGTATTCACAGGGACCTGATAATTTGTTACAGCTATACAGAGTAAGTCTACATGTTTTAGGTGTTTAGATCAACTTTCGGTAAAAACCGCCTACCCCAAAGATATGTGCGAGAAAGGAGGAAAGCTCTCGATGTCAAAACAACGTAACTGTCTTCCATCAAAAACCACCTTTCCTCCGATACGCACGTACACATGTATTTTCCTTCCACAGACCTGAACTCCTTTTTCTCCAAAAACACACAACATTTTTTCATGAGTTTCAAAGTTGTTCTCAGTCACAGAGCTATTTGTTTCATATTCATAAGATTACCGTCAGCCACGTGCCGAAACATGTGTGATAACCTTGGCTATTTTAAGGAAGAAATGGCTGCGCTTTTCGTAAAGATACCAGCCAATCACATCCAAATATAGTTGTAACGAATTATCAGGTCCCTGTGGTAGCACTAACGGAGTTTGAAACAAAGCACAAATCAAAGGACTGATACCGATTCAAATGACCAGATTGTCTCTCCCAATAACAGAGGGGGAGTTACATGCTTCCTGATCCAGGGCAAGTGGCAAAATAGGTTTGTGTTATATACATGACTTAGGACTATCACAAGACCAGACGGTGTCGGATAATTCCACGTTTTCATATACCGTTGTGCGCTCTGGCCCCACACCAGACATCTATCTATCTGTCACAATGTCTAAGTCTAGTGTCAGGGCCGGAGGAAACTCGGGCTAGACGATGGCGTTCATGGCCAGCCATGAATTATGTATTACGTTGTAAACTAAAGGCGTCGAAGTAAAACTCTAGCAACAATTAGGTATGAGTAAATCTTTATCAAACGTATTACATCAACTATAAATATATACCAAGTGAGAATGTGTAACAAAAATTGCATAATATCACAATTACAACGAAAAATGTAAAATATCACGGCATTTTTCCATAAATTATGTTAGTCCTTCTTTTTCTCTTTTGCTAACATATCCCTGACATATATGTGGCAAAAAACAACCACTATACCATTAAATATTATCGCTAGTATAACCGCTCCTATACTGTTCCAAAAAGTGGGCAGGGCCATGGTTGCGAACTTTGTGCCGAGCCGTTCCAGTTCATGGGTGATGCCGTCCAGCTGTTTTTCTGTAACCATTATGATACAAAGATGAAATATCTGATGACTGTGGCCGAGAAAGTCAAACTTCCCTGGAAAGAAGCGTTGAGGAATGTCAGAGCTGAAGAAGAATCCTGCCACAGCGAACCAGATCATCTGTTGTATGTGGTGATCCAGACTGGAGTGCCACAGACCTGCCCCGAGATACTGGAAGAGCCTTAGCACAATCGGCACACTGTTCCAAAGGTAGATGGTCACAACGGCCGATATCTGCAACAATGTCCGCGCGAAAGGGTAGGGTGGCTCGTATAGAAAGCTACTCGCGCTACAGCACAGACACACCAGCATACCCATGACCACACTCACTACCACGGCGTTGGTCTGGAGCCACGAGTTCACCCAGGCGTCGTCATGGCAGTAATGGTGGTGAAGGATAACACTCCCGACTCCGAACAGTCCGATACCCGCATAGTCAATCATAAAGGCTGTGTAGTGCACGAGTTCTGACCTGTTGGAGAAGCAGTGAGCGATCGTACTGCACAGGTACATCAGTACCATCGTGATCAGACCAGCCGTCAGGGGCCACATGTGGGGATCTCCGAGCAGGCTGTGGTTCTGTGCAAACTCTGTGGCCCTGTTCAGAGCCATGCACATGCCCAGTAGGTGTGTCCAGCAGTTCAGACATTCGTTGTGTTTTTGGAAGAAGCTGTAGACATAGTAGCTCCATGGCTGGTGAGGAGTGCGGAATCCGGTCTCCACATGTGACAGGTGGAAAACTTCCGGAACACTCTTCCTTGAGGTTGTGGGGACGAGAGATACTAACATACTGTCGGAGTCTGACTGTTTCCCTGCAATAAAAAATTCCGTTATATAGTTCTAATGAAACATAACATGTATTTTCCCAATTATTTCGTGGAGCATTGACTTTATACCAGCGAGAGCCACATTGGGTAAGTTAACATTACATGATCATGGTTTTATATCGCCTACCTCAGTACTACTTCTCTAGAAAGCTCCAAATTCAGACACAACTCGAATCCAAACAAAACCCTCTAGACCCAACACTGGTGGACCCGTTGTTGGACGAGGCTACATTTGGCTGTCTGGACGGAAGATGAAGCTGGAAACCCTAACTTTTTAACTCATTGTACGCCCTTCCGCGAACAAGGAAGCTACAAATGTATGTTTCGTAATCAGACGAGGGAATAGTGATATTGATCGCGATCTGCACAAATACAATGCACATTAATAATGTACATTCTACTCCGACACTATTCGTACTATAAACACACATACAACACACACGCTAATGGCGCTTCGCTAGGGCCACACACGTGTGTCACATCTTCATAAATTAAGTCCAATTTAAGTTCGTCTTTTATATACTAACTATGTGCGTTAAAACAAGGCGTGTATTTGATCGATCTAGGATGCATAATATAGTTTGAACGTTACCATATACACGTGCCATATATAGTACTCGCAAGCAGGTTACAATCCGATTACGCTTGGGCTCATTTACGAGACCAATGATACTAGTATACCACTCGTACAAACACAATACACAGCGCTACAAGTATTTTAGTCATAGTCGTTCATTATATATTATATATTAGAGGCCTTAATTGTAACTAGGCCTAACCCTATCTTACTGTATTGTCAATTCATTGTCCGTCCAATGCCAGCTTTCTACAACTTATCATATGCAGCCTAAATAGTCCTTACCTTGTTCTTTTAGTGACATACTACTGTTTTTTTCTTAAATCAAACGTTCTATACAGCTTGTGACCATTCATATTCCGTATTATGATCCTAACCTTATATAACGAGCGGCAGGTCTTCATGATAGACAATCTAATTAACCATAACTTTATAGAATTGTAGGCAAGTCACACAAGACGACAAATACTTGCATCCTTGAACTAGTCGTATGTCGTTCAACTATCCTTAACCTTCCACGACCATTCTCGTAGTCCAGATATATACGTTTTTTTATTGATTAGTTATAATTATAAGAAATAGTTTTGTCTTCGAAAAATGTTAAGGAGATATTCGTTAAAAATAATTTGATTACAGGTAAATAATAAAACTTTAAATTTTCGGACCTACAACTTAAAATAACTATTTTCAACATTCTTTCATTAAGATACTCTTGGAACTTTTTACCGGCAACATTCATGCGACTACAAGGTACGCCTACCCCGTTGTGGTCCTCACAGCTACATACCTGTTTCCAGTGTGACGTAAAGCTTGAAAGTGTGGGCGTGGTCATAGGATTTGACACACTCGGCCCTACGCGTATAACTGGTCGATATTGACCATTTCAACAGTATCAAATTGTTGTAACTTACACAGCAGTAGTCCACCATCGAGATATCCCTGGAATTATAAAATAAACTGGCAACCATCGCGCGACAACACGGTACGCATATCACTTTGGGATCCTCAAGGCATAATAGCTTTACATACTTGTATCAAGAGTAAAGTGTGGGCGTGGTCATTGGATCTCACACTCCGGCCCTACGCGTAAAACTGGTCAATCTGTTCGGGTCATCTTCATTATAAGGTCATACAGATATGTTCATGTTTGTAGACATGATGTCACGACTACTGAATTCTAAAGCTGCCTGTATATATAGGACACACTTGGTTGAGCAACCTTTAAACCTATTGGAGTAGAACGTTAGTGAACACTACCTACACCGGTGCTACATTCCAGGACGAAACACGTGTGTTACATTCCGGCACGCATTCTTCACACATCACACTAAAAATAACATTGTACAACTTCTTGTGTAACTCGACTCTTAAAATCTATTTTTTTCTATGTAAAACGCCAGCCCCACCCTCAGTAGCTGAAGCATTGACCCCATACTGCCTAGAAGCAAATGTAAGTTAGTTAGGGTGAGTTATGTTAGGAGTGGGTGATGCAAAATGTACGCGTGTTTCTGTTGTACTATACCTTGCGGTGCCGCATCCCGCCTTGGATCCAGTGGAGAGTCAGCATCACCTCAGTATTTCAGGTCATTCCGATACAGAGCGAAACCGCACAGCTAGTTGTTTCGGCGAACGGAAGCTATGTGACGTTACACGACTGGAGTTGTAGTGACAACTAATAAAAATGAGCCGGCTCGTAAACACACGTATACACATGTATAGTATACACTTCAAGTAAGGGTCGTAATTATGTCTTGACGTGCATACATTTACCCATTATGTACCCCCACATTGACAAGCGTTCTATAAAGCAAGGTGACACTCTTACAAGTGTATCTACATTTGAAAGATACAGTTGACATGGCTAGTAACTGTGACGTCATTGTTATGAAAACGTTTACAACGTGATCGGTAGACGGCCGGTTGCTCTACTAGAGCTTGGTCCAATGAATCTGTATCAAGATACACTTGGCTACCGGTCGATTTTGTAAAGATTACTCAAATGCATTTATCTAGCTTTCCCCCTGGATTTTATCGTTGAATGATTATAGTTAAAATAATATTAACTTAATCAGAGACGTATGTAAATATATAGAGTTTACACAAAGAGTGTCGGTTGATTAACATGTTTATCTAACTAGAGTTAGTTAATTTTCAAACTTTAAAAAAGGTACAGATAGGTGATCGGGTGAAGCTTTGTGGGAGAGAAAAGGGTAGAAGTAAATTTATCCGCGGAATTAGATTAGATTAGATGCTATCAAAGTCTATGATTTAAAAACGGTTTTTTTCACCAACTTACAACACAACTTATTTGTTAATTTGATTTCTTAAAATGCTTCATAATCCATTAAATATGTTGTGATTACACTTACAATAGTTTTTATTGGAATCTAAGATATATGTAATTTATTTAAAGATATATATCTATTTATTTGCGCCACCTGATTGTTAAGTTTGCTTGCCATAGCATTACATACCGGTTACTCGCGTTGTGTATCAGTTGCAGTGATCTGTTGGCCTGCGGTTTATTTTAGACACAGGGCATTTAGGAGGTCAAATTAAGCGGGAAATTCGTTTTTCTCATATAATTGTTTGTGTTATTAAGTTCAAATTACTTTTACCAGTATTTACTGAATTAATTAAAGAATTTGCCTGAAGGATATAACTATCTGGTAAAACAAAGGGCAAACTTCATTAGAAAATCAGGCGGTATTATTATTATTTACAAAGAATGTTTACAACGATTTTTAGTATTTAGAAATACAAGATTAAGTGGAGTTTCATCTCAGTCTAGTTTGCTGTTAGGGTGCGTTTATATTCCACCCGAGGTTTCTCGATATGCTACAGCTGAAGCTTTTGATGAGATTGAAAATGAAATGATATGTTAATCTCGAAATGATTTCAATGTAGCTTTACTTAGTTGTTGGGGATTTCAACGCTTAAACACAATGTAAACAGAACTTTGTCATCGCTGACGAAAAGTTGATTGATTGTCTAAAATTGAATGAAAATGATGAATTGTATAAATTTATAATTGATTATGAAAATCTCTGGAAAGGTACAGTAAGGATACGTCTAGCATGAATACTTTTGGTTGTCGTTTAATTCAGTTGCGTAAACACAATAACTTGTGTGTTGCAAAAGGTAGACTCGGTAAAGATTTATATGTTTGGGAAACTACATGTAAAGGAGTTAGTGTCTTTGATTATCTTATAATTTCATCAAAGGTTTTTCCAATGATTAAAAATTTTGAAATAATCTATTTTGATCCGCTATTCTCAGATGCGTATATAGTAGAATCAGTTTTGAATTAAACGCCTATGTATCAGCGATTGTGACAAAAAATGTTAGAAGAATCAGTAGAATCTATCGGGGAAATTTGATATGGGGGAAAAAAGGAGAGTTTGTAAATGTCGTTCAGGAAACGGGTTATGAAAGGCTGACCAATATTAATGAATAACTTGACATTTTACGGAAATTACCCCGCGAAAATGTACAACGCTCAGAAATAGACAGAGTTAGTAATGGCATATCTGATATATTTAAATGTTCGGCACAAACGGTATTTGGGGTTAAGAGGAAGAAACATAAGCCCAGCTCGGGTATGTACAAACCTAAGGTCAACAAACCCTGGTTTACTGAGGAATGCAAACCTGTTAGAAATTGGAAACGGTTAAAGAAAACAAGCAAAGAATATCGACAACTGCTTAACAAAAACTTTAAAATAAAACAAGAAGAAATAAGAAATACAGCTAAGAACTGATAGTAAAGCTGTCTGGAATATCCTCAATAACCTAGGTGACAACAAAAAAAGACAAGGTATTGATATCGACATTGAAAAAAATCTGAATACCTGTGTTGATATAAATGAACATGATGATGATCTCGAAATAGAGAATAACCTATATGAATATGATGATATATTAAATAGCGATATTAGCGTAGATGAGATTACTGGTGCGACTCGCAAACAGCAAAGCATGCGGTATAGACAGTTTTGTGTATCACAAACTTTTAAATATTGTACATGTACTTGGTACAGGCGTATAGTACCAGATGCTTGGACAACAGGTATAATAAAGCCTATATTTAACAAGAGTACCGCGGGGCGGAACAATATACGCCCGTCGAATGCCATATAGTGTTTTATAATTTCTTACATTGAAATAAGATCTGCATCATTCTAAGAGTGGTTAACTGACATGCTATAAAAAATGTCGGAGAAAATCTCCGGACAAAAAATCAAATACTGAAATGAACATAGGGCAAGAACTTTTGCAAAAATTGTCGAATCAAAATTCTTTTCAAGAAAACACAACGACATATCATGATTATCCGTTGAAAAATGTAGGAGGAGATCGCCGGACAAAAATCAAATACTGAAATGAACAAAGGGCAAGAACTTTTGCAAAAATTGTCGAATCAAATTTCTTTTAATGGAGACACACAACTCTCAGGCAAAATTTACAAAATCATGTATAAGTTACACGAAAATAACGTCATTAAGTTTAAACGATTGCAAAATATTAAAGAAATACTTGGTTACTCGGGAATGAACTATGTATGGATATTTCAAGAAACATGTACTGTAAGAAAGCCGCTACTGAAAAATACCCTTAAATCTAAGTTACAGGATCAATTTATTCAAAAATGGAATTATGACGTCACAATATCGCCCAGAGGGAATACCTATTCTATTTTTAAGAAAGATTTTGGCTTAGAAGAATATTTGAAACGGCTTGGGAAAAAAGATAGGGAAATAATGTCTAAATTCAGAACATCAAATTTGAAATTCCCTATCGAAACAGGAAGATGGACAGGTGTCCCAAGGGAAAATAGAATATGTTCTCTCTGTAACATCGATGTTGGCGACGAATTCCTTTATTTATTTATTTGTAATAAAAGTCAGTTTACGGAACTGAGGCGAAAATATATACCTAAGTATTACTATAATTATCCGACGACCGTGAAAATGAAAGGAATGTTTCAAAATTTGCAACACTGTTCTCCTTAAAAAAAGTTTGTAGATTTCTAAAAACAATATTGAAAATGTTAATTATGCTGTAAATCCTGTTATATCATAAGTTATAAAGAATTAGATGTTGTA